TGGTGATGGGAGCTCCGATGGAGACCATATTGCCCCGTCTGTGAGCCGGGGGGAGGGGGTTAGGGATGGGCTTCATCATCTAGACATTAAAAATGTGAAGTCATGAATTACACCATCTTAGAAAATGAAAGAGAACCGGGGTATAATGAATGAGAATCATTTTGAATTGAAGAGATAACTTTTCCTATAAAACAATTGAATATATAAAGCCCTCTTATATAGAATTATATTGCATGGAACATGTTCGCAATCGATTTTCGGAAAAAAAAATTCATAACATTTTTGTGTATTTCATGAATCCGTTCTTGCTCTCTACCGTTTTTGGGGGGAAATTTGGAAGTAGTGGTCGCTTATGGTAGCACTGAATTTAATGTGATGTTATCGATGATGATGAATAGGATGACCATGAGCAGAGCTTATACGTGTTGTTCGCTTCAGACGACTTTCGGTATCGGACGTCAAGGGGGAGTTCAAACTGAGGAGGGTGATAGCTAAGGGAGGGTATAATGAAACCTTTTCGGAGGATGAAAGCTTCGTGAATGATGATGATTATGAAGAGGAGGAAGAGGAGGAGAGTTTTATAAACGACGATACATCGAATGAGGAGGAGAGTGTGTCCGTCCGGACTAACACTTTGGGAGAATCGGTCTGCATCAGGTGAGGAGGATTCGGACGCAGGAGTCGTTGCCCGATATAATTTGATTAATGAGAAGATGGATGAGGAACGGCAGAAAAAACGGCAGTCGGCTGGTCTAACGGTGGGCGCAAAAATAAGGTCTCCAGAAATAGTAAGTGCAAAACGTCACTGCGCCACGAAATTATCGGCCTTAGGCGTTCCATGAGTATCTTGAATTCCTCACGGTCTCTATGTGCGAGCCGGATGCTGAAATGAATGAGAAATACGCGGCTTCGGTTAAGCGTATCGAAGGGGAGCTGGAGCAGGCTAGAGCGGCTAGGAGCACTACAGCTTGGGAGGCTCATGGAGGTGGGAGAGGGGAGGGAGTGTCACCACCCGTTTCACGTGAAGTGGTGTGATTCTCTGCGAAAAACGCGATATTCGCGGTCATATGTAGTAGTCGTGAAATATATATTTCAGTAGTGCTTTTGATATCACTAGGGTGAAACTACAGTGTTGTTCGCCGGCGTAGGTCGCTATCGTCGTGGACTGGATTTGTATCCGGATTTAATCTCAAGACCTACGCAGATAAATGAGGAGAGCACGAGACTGCTGAGGAGGTGTGTGCGCGGGTTCGATTCCGGGTGGTGGTATTTTGATGTATTGTTAGAGAGGGAGACTGTTGTTTGGCGTGCAATCAACGACGATGGAAGTTGGATGCACGCCTGAATGGGAGAATGTGCGACTCGAGGAAAGTCTGGGACGGAGATATCGGATAGTAAGCAGCACCGCGATGACTATGGTCGTCGATTTGACTGTGGCTACAGTTGGTACCGATGCTATGGAATGACGCCGTTACTGTCAACTGGATTGGAAGGGGGAGAGACTCCAGCTCAGGGCCTCACCTTGAGCGATACTGAGGAGGGGGAGGATGATGAGGGAGTTGACGAAGTGCGGCATTGGATGTTGGATAATTGGTTCCATCTAGGGAAAACTTGTCGGACGCACTCTGAAGACTATCAGTGAGAGCTGTTCTCCAGTTATGTGACACATGATAGGTTTCAGTTTTTAGGTTTCTGCAGCACTATAAGGAGAGATTGATGTTTCGCATTTATGTTAAACTGAAGAATGCGGTGACTATCATCAGTAGGACGGAGATGGCGTTGGCGATACTGAATAGAGATGATAAGAATTGGAAGCAGTGGAAGGTGGGCTCCTCTAAGTGCATCGAAGTTGTTGACAAGGAACATGCTCCTTGTTGTAGACCGCACTATTTGAGGAGTACACCAGAGTCACCGATACGGCTTTTAATGCAGCTGAATACAAACGAGTCCGCAATGAACTGATGGTTGACAAATTCGGCAAATAACGATGATAGTTCACGATTTGTGTATTGATTAGCAAGCTTAAGAGCTGTTTCATGTCCGGAGTAGTTGTTGGTCTCAGTAATGGATAAAAGTCGCTACCCGGATTTGAACCGGGGTTGTCACGGCCACAACGTGACGTCCTAACCGCTAGACGATAGCGACCCGATTTCAAAGGTTCTTGAGATGGGAAGCCCACCGCAACTGTGGCGTGTAGCTCTCAGAAACTGTAACTTGTTATCATCTCTTAACTCGCAGTGATGCCCCGTGATAATAGGACTGCTGCTATCAGCGAAACTCAGAGGCGATCGCTCACCAAGTTCTTCGTGGGTCTTTTCGGAGCCGTCCTCATCGTCACTGAGTGTGCTTTCGTAATAGGAGTGCTGCAGGTAGGTACCCTAGGGGTACTTCTCTCGAAATGAAGTCCACAGCAATTCACTCCCGCGTAAACGTCTAACAACTGTCTATGTCAGAAGCTGATGAGAGCGGATGGTGCGTGACGTGCTAGAGGGGGTAAAGTGTGCAACACAACTCCAGGCTGGCCCAGTCATGATGGCTTCCATGATTGCAGTACGTTAGTGCTGAGTTGAGTTTATGAGTTTTAGTGAGCTGAGAATGGTATTGAGAGGTAACTCAGGACATTCGCGTCCACGTGAGACCATGGAGAATAGACCAGTGCAAGACACACGTGGTGCTAACTCAACTTAAGTTAGAACAGTCGAGTGTTCCGGGTTCACTTGAGGTCTCAGTGGACTCGACCCTCATCACAAACTGTACCGAATCTCGTTTCGTCAAATAAAACAGAATTGTCGGTCATACGATGAGCGTCAAATTTGATCCTTGAGTTCAAGACCAACCTGGATAGGTATTCGCAAGAAAAGTTTCCTATTATGGAGAACAATTTGTGTCCTAGTGACTGGTACGTCTCAGTTCTGTCAACTGTCAGTCGTCAAGTCCGTGGCCGAGTTTGCTCGCGGTTGCTGTTCCGCATATACCAACCGCTGGTGCTAGCGGCTCGTCAAGCGTAGCTCAGTTGAACAAGTTGATTCCATCAACTCCAACTTGCAGAAAAGTATAGAACATTTCTTGTCCATTATGACGCATAGAATCCTGAAGGCGCTGAACAGCTCGTACACGTGAAGAGCTTCATCAGGTCTACACCATCCTGTACGACCGGTGTCCCGTAGGTCGAATTCTTTACCTCGAGGAGCGTGAGGATCGTTTAAGGTGTAGTTGTCAGCTCTAGTTCAAGATATGAATAGTCGGCAAGTCGACACTGGCTTTCGCACGATGAGTAAAACAATGATGGGCACTGCCCTTGCTCTGAGATGCATGCTGTGGGCTCTCAGTGATAATGAGAAATACCGAAAACACGGTGTCGAGTGACACTTATATATTCTTATCTTCAGCACGTTGGTTTGAGTGAAGTTTATACTGTGTGTAGGCTTGTTCTTCTCAACTGGAACTTACCCCACATGAGGAATCGCCCTCCTGTTCACCATCGAAATTTCACAGTGCCCCGTTCTGGAACGCGGCTTCCTGATCATAGCAAAAATTCTTTCTCCAGCCTGCAGTCTGTGACACTTCAATCGGCACTGCCCACAATTATGGACAGCGACGCGTCCTCCGTAAGATACCCATTAATGATGCTCAACGATAAACCCGCTCCTCTTACGCCACCTTAGGCTCGAACATGATCGCCTCGGCCAGGATGTCGTTGTAGCTGAGAGTGCGTGCTACTTCGATATGATTCGATAGTTCAACCACCATAACCCCCTAATGAAAGGTTTCCAACCAACTACGAACGCAACAAGCGCTATCCCTGTCTGAGCATGATACTGGACAGGGTCAGTAAAGTAACATGATGCTTCATGGAGTAACATGATGAACAACAATCATCCTCTCACTCCTCGACGATGACGAGGCTTCTGCTTCCCGCAGTGCGGTCTGGTAGCCGTGGCGTGAACAGTGAATAGATTGGCGGACTCATCTGAAGGAGGAGTTTCCGAGTAGTTATTGCAGGTTCGTGAAGCACCTCGAGGGGTCCTATCAACATCACTGGGGTACCTGGTCTCCGGCATATCCTCCTCGTCATTATAAACGCCTTCGACGCTCATCACCTTCGGGATGTCTTTCGTCGTGGATGATTCCTCGGGGAGACCATCAGTGTGGAGCTCATGGGTGGCCTGACTGTCGCTGTCTCGAGGCTCTTCGATGGCGGTGGTGATATACTCTTCTTCAATTCGTCTCCCATCGAGTTCTTCTCCACTGCTGCTACACTCGAAGTCGTAGTCGTAGTTCACATCCTTGCCCGACGACGATGCGGCATCCTCGGATACCATGCAGTGGACCTCAGACGACGTGGCGGCGTCTGTCGTTGTCCCGGAGTCGTCTGACTCGTAGCTCGGAGTAATCCTCTCGTGTGCATTGAATAGATCGGCGGCGCTCGGAGTTTGGCCTCCCTCATTCAGAACCTTGTAAAATATCAACCGAGTCTTCGTATCGGACAGACCGTGCGCGACGATGATGTGATACGAGAATTAGACACACCTGATAGGGTTCATCAGATGCTCGAGGACTATCATCAACTCTTGGACTGTCTGCCCGGAGAGTCTCACCTGATGCTACAAAAATGAATTTCACGAGCGGTCACAAATGTCTTACTTGAACTCTCGATGGAAGGTTCCATTCGGTGGGCGAGTGGCGATGTGAGGTTCTCTGGGGGAAGGCGAAGACGCTTCGTTGCAGAGCAGTCGTTGGCCGAAGCATCGCCGACCTTCTTAGGACGTTGGATGCACCAAGAGGCGGCGTGTGACTGAATGGCTCCCATAGAGAACAAGTAGAGCCTCTACTGTAGAGGCGAACCGGTGTAGCAGCTGTCCCTTCTTCCGAAGTCATCCCCTATGGTCGGACACAACATAATGCACTCGGCGTAGTCCCCTACCGAGAGTGGAATTAATGCCTGTGTTGCGCTTCCGAAGACTCCTAGTGTACTCTTCATTCGCTATGAGGTATACTTATAAGACGTTACGTCTCCCGCTCATATCTATACAGTTTCACACAACGTAAACGGTTTCGTTTCGATGGTATCTGTTCTCAGTGCGCTCGGATCTGGAACCGCTCACCCGAGGGTTTGTTTCTCCGAAAGAGACAACTGACGACTCGGACTCATATTATCACGTAAGATGTACTCCAGGCTGCGTTGATGCTAAGTTGATAATATCTCTTGCTGCGCTCTGATTCCTAGTCTAACCTTATCATGTAACTAACTCGAAACGGAACGAAGATCGCGACGTCGCTTGAAATCAATTGTAGTACCAACCGTCGAGAAGGCGTACTGTTGGTAGGGGTTTTGAATACGGAGTGGAATCGAGTGGTTGCCCAGAAACTTCTACTCTGATCTGGCATCCTTAGATCATGAGCAGTAATCGTGGGGAAAACACCCGTGTGAAAGAAAGTTACTTCGGCGATTTGACCACGAAGCTCTACTTCTGATGGTGACCTCAAAATAATTTTCGAATGAAGTCACGAGACATAAAGTTATTTAACCTTGACGGCATATCTGTGAAGCGGACTGGTAGTCGGAGATACACTTTTGTAGGCCAATCTGATGCCACGACTCGGAGCCGTAGTAACACATGACCCACGAGAAGAAGTTGAGACCGATATGTGTACCACCGGCTTCAAAGAAGTAATCAAACTTATCCTTAGACAGAACATGATCACGAACATAGTCGAGAGCAGTCGAAAGCTGATTGTAAGCGTAGAGGATACCTCCATTGGGGTTGTCAAGGCGATCGCTGTAGTAAGCACACAT